CGTCTCGGGGGGCGGTGCGGGACCCCCAGCTCGGGGCGGGCAGGGCCGGGCGGTGCGGGACACCCGCGGGGCCGCTGGAAGGGGCTGGGGGCGGCCGGGACATGGGGGGCACGGGAAGGGAGGATGGCAGGGCGGGGACCCGCCGTGTCAGCCCGTGGGGTGACCCTGCTGTGCCCCGCAGGTGCCGTCCGGAGGTGCCGGGCTCCCCCTACCCCAGCTTGGGTACCACAAGCGGGGCCGAGCATCTTCTCCTGCATCCCCGAACGCGTGACGTGGCGGGCTGCCGTCCATCCGCGGGGAGAGGCCGTGCACAGGCCTGGGCACCGCTGACCTCCAGGCTCTGACCTCTTGACGCCTTCGGGATCCGTTCTCCAGGGAATTCAGCTCATCCCGGCCCGCTCGGCCTGTCCCGCCTGGCTGCTCCTATGGAGATGCTTCACGGAGTGTCAACAAACAGCACGTGTGGGCCCTCCCCAGCATGGAGCACGCAGCAGTAGCACGGCTGGGTGAGCTCTCACAAGTCCTGCTGTGGTTTTTAAGCAAGGCCAGGCTGTGATTTTAGGGCCCTGCTCCCTCTCCTGAGCGGCGCCAGCAGCTCGTGGATCCCGAGCGCCGTGCCCTGGGATGTTCTCCCTTGAGCTCCGAGCAGCAGCCATCGGCCTGGACAGAGCCACTGGGGATTATTTCGGAGCAGTTGGGAAGGAGCTCCCGCTGGTGGAGCTGTGCTGGGGCAGATGAGTGAGCCGGTGATGAACGGGAGGGTGCCCCTGCCCGAGAAAGCCTTGTCCGAGGGCTATGCCCGCCTGAGGTACAGGGACACGTCCCTGCTCATCTGGCAGCAGCAGCAGCAGAAACTGGAGTCAGCTCCCCCCAACACCTACCTGAGCCGCAGCAGGAGCATGTGGTACTCGCAGTACGGCAACGAAGCCATCCTGGTGCGGGACAAAAACAAGCTGGATGTCTCCAGGGACACGGGGCAGTCCAAGTTTTGTGCTATTATGTAATTCCCCGCAGGAATCCACACGTGGAGAGGAAGCAGAGCTGGGGGAGGTGGGTGTGCAGCAGCCTCTCACAGCCCTGCACAGGAAGCAGCGTTGCAGGAAGGCTGAAGTTTGATTGCTTCTGTTTGGTTTTGCTGTTTATAGACTCCCATTCTGCATGTCACTGAGTGTGTGCAGCAAACCCAGCCTGGCTGGGGAGATCTCAAGCCTGTTGCTGCCCAGCATCTTGGCAGGGGCCGTGCTGGACCATGTGTTGCTTCTAAGTGGCTCGTGTGCCCTGAGAAGCACCCGCTGGCACTTGGGCACCATCCCCAGCCACCCTTACTGGCCAGTCCTGGTACATTTCCAGAGCTCTGGGAATGCTGGTGGGACAGAGGCGAGCACAGATCTGTTCCCATCAGGGCTGTGGTTTTAAGAAGTTGATCTCCAAAACCATCTGGCCATTACTTGTTCTGTTTGCCCTGTCTGTATTTAATTCCTGCCCTGAAGTGGTCTCTTCCAGCCAGAGAATGGAGTGGTTTACTGTGGGAACAGGGGGAGAATGTGTTGAGAATTTAATCCAAGCCTTCAAAACACCTGGTAGGAAAGGTGTGCTGGAGTTCCATGCAAAGCCAAGGGCCCTCTCTCATCCCACAGGGTGGGATCATAGAAACAACAGGAGCTCTGGAGTCAGGGGAGCTGACTCCTTTCGGGCAGATCCCCCAGTGAAGCACCTGAAAGGGAGGGACAGGCCCAGGAAAGCAACAGCAAAAAAAACCCTGTAAATGCACACATGTCCTAAGGGACACGAGGAAACTCCTGCAGAGCACAGAGCCACTCCTGAGATGGGCTACAGAAGGAAAGAGGCCACTGGAGTTTGCTTTGCATTCAGGTTTTAATGCATGCAGTAGCTTGGAAGGGTTTAACTTCTAGTTCAGGTTGGATTGTAGGTTTGGTGCATGTATTTTAGAAGTTGTGTCTAGGATTGTTATGATTAACTGGAGGATTTTAGGAGGGAGAAGCACTGCCCTGCTTGGGCACAGAGGCTGCTGCTTTCAGGTTTAAGTTTCTGCTGAATCCTGACTTGCTCAAGGCAAGATCACCCTGAGAAACTCAGCCCAGCAAGCACCTGAATCTTTGTTAAAAACAGAACTCCCACTTCCAGGGCTGTGAATTATGTACCCAGGGTTCAGCATGAAAATTCTTCAGGGTTTTTCCCTTTCTGTCCTGCCTAGGCCATGTGTGCAACCCAGCAGTGCCTGGGCACAGGCTTAGCTCCAGGCAAATCAGCATTTGATGTCAGCTTCAGGATGGATTATTTACCTGCCTATTATTAGGCACAGTCATTACTTCTGTTCTATTTATCTAAAACCTCCTTTGCATTTTTTTCAAGCACTTTATTTTATTTATTTTTTTTTTTTTAATACAATGAAGAATCTCTTCCACCTCTCCCGTGTGGGTGAAATGCTACAACACACCTCGACCTTGCTGAACTCGATGTACTGAGCAGAACACACCTGTTCTAGAGTGAAATCACAGAGGTTTGGTGTACTCAGCCCTGCTCCATAGCACTGCAAACAACAGGCAGCTCGTTGTTTTTTTTAAAAGCACTATTTCTGCATGTGTTGGTGTTTGATACCTTGTGTGTGTGCGCGCTCATAGATTTGCACCTCGCTGCTTTGCAGACCTGTGCATTGCTCTGCACACAAATAACCCTCTTGCTTTTGTCAGGACTAGCTCTGGAGGAGAAACTATTCAGTGAATAAATGTTTTTGAAGCGAGTGCGAGCGTTCAATGAGATTCACAAAGCCAGCGAGGCTCGGCAAGGTGCCGGGGGAGCAGTGCCAGGGATGTGTGACCCACCTGGGCCTCCAGCTCTTGGCTGAGTGAACAGGAGATTATTTACTCAAACAGGCACGGGGCTGGGCCCAGAGCTCCCCTGGGATCTGCAGGTGGATTCACCTGGAGAAGCAGGAGAGGTGGGTTCCAGGCCAGCCCTGGGGAGCACGTGAACTCTGGGAGTTTAAGGAACAGCACATCCCCCAAAGCAGCTGTTCGTTTTCTTTTCTTATAGAAAAAGAAATCCAACACTTATTTTCTTTTTAATTTCAGTAAGGAAGATGCTTATTTTGGGTATAATCAGTCTCTTTTTGTTGACGTGGCTGGTAAACCAAAATTCAGTTATTTTGCAGAGTCTTAATTGGACTATACAAGACTAAACCCGTAAGAATGTGCATAAATTCTTCCAGGATGGATGCTGGATGTGACAGAGCAGGAAGAAGAGGATGAGTTGTCCTTCCATCTCTGTGAATGTGACTGTAGTTTTCCATTTCTGTGTGTCACTGGTCACAGCAGGGTTGCTGTGGCTGTTCTGTGAGCCGGTTGTGTGGTGGTGATGCACTTGTTTCAAACACTGTTGTAGCCTCTTTGATAAAGTGCATTAAAATGATTTGAATGCAGCTCGGTGAGTGGCTGTTTTTCCCCTGCATGGCCACGGCTCTGGCACAGGTGACAGCTTTTGGCACTCCCCTTTTGGGAGGGAGGAATCACCTCAGTTCCTGGTGGGGCTCCAAACCCACACCACTGCACTGGGAGCTGCAGGGGAGGCTCCTCCAGCTCCCCAAGGCCAGCAGCACTTTCAGGATGAGGAAAGCTCTGGCTGTCACACTGAATGAGGGAATTATTATGGAAAAGACCTCAGAGATTGTCACATCCAGCCTGTGCCTGATCCCCACTTTGTCACCAGCCCGGGGTGCCACATCTGGGCCTTCCCTGGGCACCTCCAGGGATGGGGACTCCAAACCTCCCTGGGCAGCCCCTGCCAAGCCTGAGCACCCTTTCCTCAAAGGAATTGCTCCTGCTCTCCAACCTGAACCTCCCCTGGATGCAGTTTGAGGCTGTTCCCTCTTGTCCTGGTAGGAGTTACCTGGCAGTGACCAAAGCCCACCTCACAACCCTGGTTTGGGCAGCTGGAGAGAGCAAGGAGATCTTCCCTGAGCCTCCTTTTCCTCCAGGCTGAGCCCTCTCAGCTGCTCCTCACAGGACAGACTTTCCAGAGCCTTCCCCAGCTCTGTTCCCTCCTCTGGACTCATTCCAGCCCCTCAATGTCCCTCTGGCAGCCCCAGCATTCAAGGCATGTGCAGTGAGAGTTGAACTTCAATTGTGTCCTGCGTGTCCTCAACCTCCTCCCAGCCTGAAGAAACAGCTCTGCTCTCTGCCCCCAGAAGTAACTCACCTGCAAATGCCACAGAAACATCCTCACCTCCCTCACAGGAGACTCTTTAGGGGACAGCTTGGACAAAGAGCCCACGGGAGTGGCACTGGCACCAGAGCAGAGTGGAACAGCTTTGCTGGAGCCTTGGACGGGCAGTGAGCAGGAACAGGGTTAGAGAAAGATTAACCCTGGGGCAGCCTGGCTGTGCTAACCCCACCTCACACAAAGAGCAAACAGCAAAACCAACCCCAGTCCTCTCTGATGACCAAAATAGATCCTGGCACCCACACAGCAATGCCAGGACTCTGCTGGCACTGGCACCAGCTGCTCCAGGCCCCCCTTTCCAAGCTGTGCCCTCCAGGTCACCCTGAGCCCACAGCAGGTGACCAAATCCCTCTGCTTCCTGCAGCTCCTGGTGCCTTCCAAGAAGCCAGCAGCAAACCTGGGTGAAGGCTCATCTCTTTTCAGCCCAACTTACCTCAATCGGGAGCAATTCCCACAGAATTTAAGACCCTGCAGACTACAGGATGCTGGGAAGAGTTCAAGCCCTTCCTTGGCTGCACTGGGACATGGAAACAGCTGTTTCCCTCACCAAAAAAAGGGATTTAAAACAGTTTTATTTCAGGTACTCAGCTGTGATTCAGACACCCCAGAGCTGTCCCATTCTGAGGGCAGTCAGCCCTTTGAGTGTGACATTCCCTAAAATAACTTCCAGATTATTCCAGGACTCGTGGCACCAGGATTCAAGCCCCTGATGTTTGGCTGCTGGCACTGCCCAGTCCACGTTTGAGTGCCACACCTGGAAAAGATGAGGAGAGGGGAAAATATGGGATCAAACTGCACACACCAAACAATTTTTCTTTTTATTATGAAAACAAAACGAATGCCCCAGGACCAGGGTCCGTGATTACCAGTAACATCAAAGATTACTTTCTAACTCTTTTTTTTTTTAATTCTGTTTTGTTTGAGGCCAGCAATTTGCAATAAACAAGCTAAACTACTTACATTGACTAATTTCTTTTCAATAACTGACATTTACAGGAATATACTAGAAATGGCACTAAAAAGTTTTAAGAAAAAGAGTTACGGTAAATTTGCATGCACATCATACAGAAAAGTAACAATTTCTTTTTTTCTTTTAAATATTAAAAAAACCCCAAAATAACAAAACAAAAAATACAACAACAAATCTTTCTGGATTGGTTATGCCAGTATCAGGGCTGTGTTCTAAGCGGCCTGTGTCAAATCCTAGCTGGTGGTTTAATTTCTTTTTTAAAAATGACATTTTAAAAAGATATGCAAATACCATTTTCTTTACAAAATGCAGCTCAAGCAAGATAACGCTGCTGTGTAGGGAATCCTAAATTTCTCTTTACTGATGCAGAGCCTGCCCACAGTTAGCCCTAGTGGTAACTCTCAGGGTTGAGAAGAGACTGAGAATTTAAAATCCAGTACTAAAATGGTTGTGGTTTGTCTTTGTCATGCCCCGATCCCTTCCCCTCAGCTCCAACCCCAGCTTTAAAAAAACATCATTCCTTCCAAAACAAGGAAAAAAAAATTAAGAACTGCTCTAAAAGTCTCCAAAGCAGAGAAAGAACTAGGTTAGCTAACTGCAGTCTGCTTCTAACACAGAGAAGGGGGAAGAGAGCTCAGGGGGAACTCAGCTCACAGAAATGATGTTTGTGTGTTTTTGGGGGTCACCACCCTGCCAGCAGTGACACAGCTCTGAAACATCACTCCCACGCTTACAAACCCTGGGGGTAGGCAAGGTTCAAACCACACCAGTACAAAAATTAAAATGATTTTGTTGTTTTTTTGTTGTGTAGGTGACACATTTGGTGTGCAGAGAGCTGAGAGACTCCTTCGGTCGCTGGGATGGGGAATCTCCCTCTGGTCCCACTGAGCCATGAGACAGGCTGAGTTTACAATCAGAGAAAAGGTTCACAAAGTTTTTAGAAAGGTGCAGTAATGCTGGTTGATTGAGAAAGGTCTGGTCAGATATTTTGTCAAAACAGGAATTAGTCCGAAAAAAGCAGTTTCAATAAAACTCTGTGTGTATGCATACATATGAAATCATACTGATTTCAGTGAAGTTTCCCCTGGAAAACAAAGTTAAACTTTGTTCATTCAAGAAAAATTCTACCATAAAAATTTTAATTTTTTTTTTCCTTTTTTTTTTTTTTTTTTTTTTTTTTTTTTTTATTCTTAAGTTTAAAAATGTCCTTCAAACGTTGTTGTGTTTGATCGTTTCCAAGTTATTTTGTGACATCTGGACTGACGTGTCATGCAATAAAAGCCAGTTAAATAAATGCTCTGTTGCTTCAGTTCCCAACTCATTCAGGACTGCTGTTACTTACTCTGGACTGGAAACATCTTTTCTTTCCTGGAGAAACTCAGGATGTACAAGAGGCACCCCCATGGACATGGTGGGGATAAAGAGCACTACAAACAAGCTGGGAATGGAAAAGTGTAAGGACAGCATTTGGAAGGGAGGAGTCACCAAATTCTTCCCTCAGTCATGCCAAAATGGATTTCTCCTTGCTCCATTTTGTTGGGAACACCTCACTTTCCGTGCAGAGTTTCCCAATAAGTGGAAGCCCAAGTTGCAGCTGGTGAATCAAAGATGTGCAGCAGATTCTTTTCGTTCTGTGGTGGCCTTGGCAGGTTGTTTTCCTGGAAAACCCCCAGGCTGGGATGATTTTCCAGCTCCAGCAGGGATCCTCCTCCAGCGCTGAGCCAGCCTCAGGGCACGCTTTTCCCATCACCTCACAGCTGGTTCTCAACCTCTGGCTCCAGCTTTCCCAACTAATTTAGGTGGGGCAGCCCCGTGGCTCCTTGAGGGATGTCTGTGTGTTCCAGGGGCTGTTCCTGATGTCAGAGGATGGTGCCAGAGCTCAAATTCCCAGGATTTTTTGTGGCAGTGATGCTGTCGCCTCCAGTTTGTCCTCCCCACAGCAGCCACCACCACAGCTCAGGGTCAAGCATGCAGGAAAAGGTCCCAGGAAGGGAAAACTGGGAGTTTGTTTATCCAAAAGCCGTGGCAGTGAATTGGTTGCAATTATTCCTTAAAATATTCCTTGGTTTTGGTCATTCAAGTCGCAGGCAACAGGAGAAACACAGGTGAAACCCAACCCCGTTAAAAAGAAACCCAAGCTCTTAATTAGGTGAATATTACATTTCCTCATAGTAAATTCTGAAAATATATTACCAGGGATCTGTCTAGGGGAAGGTTTTGTAAGGGCAGAACTTAAAAAAAATAATATCAGAACTGAACTCCATTGTTAATGGAAAAGAAAAATAATGAATTAAAAGCAGAACTCCACTGTTAATGGAAAAGAAAAATCATGATTCTGTGCTTCTGGGAGAGCACAGAAGGTGAATTTTAGGGCTACCCCACAGGGGAGAGGCAGTTTTAGGGGCTGGTGGTGGAGATGGAAAGGCAGAACTTTCTGTTAAATTCTGTGTATTTTTTTTTCTTTACAATAAAAAGAATTTACAATACAACTTCTGCCCCTCAGATTACAAATTTGATATAATTACAGAACTGATGTTTTCCTAAAATTGGATTAGAAAAGGATAAAACCCCCATTGTTCTACCAAAACAAAAAAAGAGGGGAGGAAAAAAGACCACTGAGAAAATAAAATTGTATTGAAGTATATGTCTCCAAAATCTGTACAAAACAGGAAAAAAGGGGTCTGGGGTGAAAAGAGGAGGAAAAAATGCTAAAAGTGAACACACCAAACATGACAGAGCACCAGACACACGAGAGACTGGACTGTAGCACCTGTAGGTAGAAAAGTCCAAGGTATATAAATAAAGTTGTGGATTTTTATTTGCTTTGTTGTTGTTTGTTTTTTAAATCTGGTTCAAATCTCGTTAAAAATCTTCCTGTCTGCTGGCCTGCAAAACCCCAGCTTTGCTTTTGTTAGGTTTTATTACATTTTAAACGACCAATGGTGTTTAATAAATAAAGTCATGGTATATACATGAAATTAGGGACACTGAAACCAGGGTGTATTACAGCAGCACAGGTGAAAACGTTAGGCTGGACTGAAAAAAATAGCAAGCTTTAAAAAAAAATTGCCTTTTTTTTTCTTCTCCCTCCCCTCTTTCTTCTTTTCATTGAGCTAAAACATTTCAGTGCCTGGAACTTGAACCCTGCCTGACACAGGAGGAGCATCTCCCCTTCCAGGAGCTCACTACCAGAATGATGAAGAGAAGGGAGAAAACCAAAGCAAACTCAAAAGCAAAAAGCCCAAACACACATAAAATCCCTCTCCACTTCCCCTGCCAGCTCAGCCTCAGCTGGAGCTCAAGTGCTGCTTTATTTTAAGCCCAGTCTGAGGTGTTTGTCATGGAGGAATTGCCCAAAATGTGCCCAGCAATGGGCACATGACTTGTCCTGGTCACCGCAGGGATCACTCCAGGCTCCAGCTGACAACTTCCAGCCAAAAAAAACTCCTGTCAATTCCATGACAACTTTCACAGAGAGCGTCCCATTTCCTGGGAATTATCTATTTCATGGTAAAAATAACATTCCCAAGAAACTTGAGTGAGTCCCTTGCTCCCTTCTTCCAAATGAATCCCCAGGAAAAGTGAAGCTTTTGAGTGGAGAACCAAGAAATGCAACCACTTCTATTGCTCGTGTGCTTAAAAGTTAAATTCATGCTTCAAGACCTTCCTGAACAGGTGCCTACGCCTCTACCAAGATTTAAAAAAAAGCATGTTAGCAATCCACAGTACATGAGAATTTTTTTGGATTTTTTTTTGTTTTTATGTAAAAAGATGATAGCATCTGACATTTTCATCACACTGTAGACTTGGAGATTAAGAATACTAGTGCTAATAACAAATACACCAACTAGTTCAAAAGCTAACATCTTTCAGATACAGTACCATTTTACAGAGATTTCTTTAAAAAAAGATGGTTTTTACCTTGTGTGAGCCAGGCAGGCTTATTAAAAGAGAATATTTGGGGAGAGGGAAGGGCTGAGAGGGAAATGTACTACAAACCTTGCAGAATTTTCTATTTATCTCCTGCTAAGAGCTCAAAGTTCTTCCATTTTCGACCAATTTTCTCCAGATAAATGTAAATTTTAGAGACTTTATGCAAAGGGAACTATTTGTCATAAAGTCTAGTCACACACACACACTCGAAGATCTTTGACCTATTAAAAGAGAACCCACTCCCTCCCCCCCACACAAAAAAAAAAAAAAAAAAAAAAAAAGAAAATACCTTTTGCAACACTGAGTTAAAAAATAAAATAAAAAAAAAACAAGTCAGAGAAAAGAGAGAGAGGTTAAAACCTGACCACCGTGAGCAGGGGGTGAGGAGGGGAGGGGGCTCTGCAGAGCAGGGGCGGGAGGGGGTGTCCGTTTGGGGGTTGTGTCCGTGTGTCCGCGCTCATTCCGAGTCGCTGCTGTCCGAGCTGGAGCCGCTGGAGCTGCTGCTCCCCGACTCGGAGGAGGAGCTGCTGCTGAGCCGGGAGGGGCCTCCGGAGGGAGTGGAGCCGGATTTCTCTGCGGGAACAAGCAGGGATGTGGTTACTAAACACGCAAGGGGTCACTGTGATATTTTACCGAAAATCTTCTGCTAGGATTTTTCCCCTCCTGAGGAGCTGGGAGCTCCGAGAAAGAATTGTAAACAATTACTATCTGCTGTGGAATGCAACAGGTGCATCTTCCATTGCTCCATGTGGATTGTTTTCCATTGATGACCAGTCACAGCCATCTGTGCCCAGGCTGTGAGCAGTCACAAGATTTTTGTTATGCATTCTATGCTATTGTTCTTTGTAGCCTTCTGATCTCTCTTGTCTCTCTGTTCTTTTAGTATAGTTTTCATACAGTATTTTAGTATAAGATAATAAATCAACCTCCTGTGTCCCCACACACGGAGTGTTCACCTCAACACACAAGGGGTGCCCTCAGCCCTGTGCCCAGCCTGACCCACGGCGTGGCAGCGCTCCTGCCCTGGGCTGGTGAAGGGTGCTGCCATCCCAAATTGTCCTCTTTGTGCTGGATAATCACTTTTGCACCTTTAAAGCTGGTTCTGAGGGTGAAGGAGGAGAGAAAAGCAGCGTGGAGTTTGTTTTCAGAAAATGCACACACTCCTCCACATTCCTGCTGCTGGACTGTGCTGTCTGCAGACAGACAGACACACAGACAGCAGGACAGAGCTCTCATTTGCTTTTAGTTAGTTTTTAGCTAGCTGAAGCAGAGAAGTTTCCTAAACTGTAGTTTTTCCTTAGACCTGTTTAAGCCTACTCTAAACTGAACACCCAAAAGAGCAGCTACAGCTCACACCTGTGGCCCACCAAGCCAAGCCTGAGCCACAGCATTTCCAACACCAAAAACACTGATAAGAGACTAAATCCAGCTGCAGCCCACAAAGAGACTTTCTGAATTTATAATCTCTTTTAAAGCAGCAAGAGTTTTATTGTTTAATAATGTTCTTTTTTTTTGTACAAGTAAATGCTCTGCCTATTAAATAGTTTTTTTCCACTTTTCTCCAAAGAAATATTTTCCTGAACCAGTTAAAAAAAAAAAAAAGCCACTTAAATCTACTTTTTAGAAGAACTCCTTCAAAGTTTTCTTCCAAATTTACCTGAAACCATGACAGCCACTTAGACTGCCAGTGACTGTGGAAGTTTGGGATGCACAGAGGAGCTCTGCTGTGGGGCAGTGTCACCTCTGAGCACAGAAAATCCCCTTGTGAAAGCTTTGTTTGCACCAGGGGAACCTTTTGGAGCATCCTGAGCTATGTGGGGGTTTGGGATTATTTTAACCCCATGTGTTAGAAGCTCTGTGGTGTGGGCTGCACACCAGGTTAACACAGGGAAGATCCTCCTCCCTCTGAAGGAGGAATGGCCTCTCAGACAGCTCCTATTTACCACCCAGCAGTTCCCAAAGCAGCCCCACAGCAGCTCAGTGGGAACCCCCTGAGGCTTCCAGTCACAGGGACAAACCCAAGGCAGAGGTTTTGTTCCTGTGACAAAGTCTGTTCACTTTTGGGGGGCTGTTTTCCCATAAAGCCAAAGCCATTACCTTTCTTTGCAGGCTTCTTGTTGTTGTTTAGCTGCCCACTGACGTCCTGTAACCGTTTTTCTAGTTCTTTCTTCTTTTCCTGAGCTAACTCTTCTTTTGACTTTGCTGCTTGCTTTTTGCCACTGGCAGCTGTGGGGGAGGAAGGCAGAGTTTCTGAAAGTGCAGGGATGCAGGGGGAAAGAGTGGACATCACTATTTTACAGGGCATGTACATCTGTGTGCACACTCTGCAGTGACACTGCCAACATCCAGTGCTCACACAGCAACTACACATCCCAGAGAGAAGACAACACCTGAAGTTGCCTTGCTCATCAAATCACCACCATCCTGTAACATGCAATTTTTTTAAGAGAGATCTTCTGGAAAGTATTTTAGAAGATAGAAATATCCATGTAATAACCTTGTCATTACAGGTTACTTACCAGCCAGTTATATGGTCAATAATTACAGATTTGTAATTACAGAATTGTTACATGGGTTTTCTGCCCTGTAAAATAAAGTGTCCCATTAAAGGTTGTCAGGAGTAAAGCATCTGCCATGAAAACTTCCGATCCCCTCACGCAAGAATCTACTGTGGTTTATGTTGCTCTAAATAGAAAACAAAACAAACAAAGGCAAATTAAAAACCAACTGAGGCAAAGGCTGGCAGACAACAGGAATGTAACTGCATCAGGATGGAAAGGGTGAGAAGGACCAGCAACACTCACACTGCCAAGGAAAGGAAATATTCCTCTGAAGGAGGAGTAATTGAACACAGGTGTTGGCCAGGATTGGAAGCACAAGACAGGAGCCAGATATTTTGCCTGATCCAGCAAGGAAATACCTACATTTCTGTGAGCTGCTTTAAAGCAGTGGTATAAAAAAAACCCAAAAAAAAACCAAAAAAAGAAAACTGGAAAGCAGAGTCCTAAGAGGGAACACTCAGCGCAGGAGACCAGCCAGGCTCAGGCATGCCAGGCTCACAGGGTGGATATCTGAGCTCTGGTTCCAAAATTGAAGGATGCTTCCAGTTCCTAAGAACTCTGGAAAATCCTTTCCTGAGCTAGGCCAACGGGGAAGGACTCAGGGGGAGAAAAAATAAAGCAAAAAGAAAGGTCAAAGTCTGTGCTTTGCTTAGGCCTTCCTGAAAACCCTGAGGAAGGAATGGAGATGCTCTGCAAGAGCAAGGAGTAGCTTTTGTGTCATAATCTTAAAAGCAAAACTCCCTTAACCAAGAGGGCCAAGAGCACTTCAGGTAAGTGATCCTACTGCTGTCCAGCTGGAGCTAAACTCTCCAGGGGCTGCAGGAACTCTCTTTGTTGGCAAGACACAAAGTCTGTCCCACACTGAAACACACACTCAGCAGCAGATTGACATTCACTCTCTGAACTGACAGAGGGTGAGGCCAATGTGGTGATCAGGACACACAGGAAGAGCAGTTTTGGGGTGAATACACAACTCAGACACACCCAGAATCCACAGATAACCAGGTAACCTTGTGCAAATCATTTATTGCCTTGGTGGTTTGGATCCCAACCATGTTTTTTGTTTCCTGCCTCATTAGATGCTAAACTATTCAGGATAAGAAACTGATCCTTCCAGATGTATGCATGTAACACCTGACACAATGAGACTGAAACCTTTACAGGGCCTTCCAGAGCCTGGGTAAGTAATAAAGGCATCCCACAGGTCTTGCAGAGGAACACATTGGCTCTCCAGGTCTCTGCAGCAGGACACCATGGGAAGAAAGAACAGAGAAAAACAGGAAGTTTCTGTACATTTCCTTGGGAGAAAAGAATCTCTAAAAACTCCTGGCACCACATACCCAACAGGTGGATAAGAGAATCTCAACACAGATGCCCTGACTCCACAGCTGAGCCCAAGAGCTGCTGGGGGGAGGTTAACTTACAAAATGGTTTCCTTTGTTTTTTCTGTAAACAAGATTTCACGTATCTCTCCAGTTCTCGTAACGTTGTGGGCTTCAAAGTTTCAAAATCTATTTCAATCTCGTCGGGATTGGAGTCTCTGAGGGAAGGTTCCCTGGACTGGATGATGTGAACCACCCTGCCCAGCTTCTCCCCGGGCAGGCGGTTGATGTCCAGGCTGAGCTGTCGCTTCTCATCATAGGTCATGGGCAGCCCTTCCTCCTCCTCATCCGAGTCGTAGGTTGCAGATGCCTGTTTGCCTCCTTTCTTGGGCTGCCTGGGGAGGTTGTCAAGCATGAAAACATTCATGGGGACACAGCAATGAAATTTTTTTTCTTCCCCTGACTCCCTCGTAACAAACATCCCCGTGCTCTTGGCTTTGAAGCTCTCGTCAGATGGCTGGAACAGCAGCACAAGTGCTGAAAAAGTTCAGCAGCCTGAGATCAGCTGTTGTGCTCCTATTATATTTTAGCCCTGTGAAGTGTGACAATGAGCCCAAGTAGCAGCAGGGGGGCAGCCATGAAATGGGCACGTTCTTGGTGGCTGCATAAAAGGCGACCCCCAAAACCTTATCTGAGAGCAATCAGGCAGGGATTCAAAGAGCTGGACAGTGAAAACACACTGGTTCCACTGCCAGCTCCACGTTAAAGACTCCCTGGAGTTGTCTGGGAATGGGAACAATATTCAGCAGCAAATTAACAACTACTGAGCTTCCCCAGGAATTAAGGACAGAGCTGGAAGCTCTTGGCTCGCCCCTCAAGGCACCTTGGCTCTCACCTGTTAGCTGTGGTTGTGCTGTTCGCTTTCTTAGCTGGGGCTTTCTTCTGTTGGGCTTGTTTTGGTGGTTGAGCCACCTTGGGTTTCTTCTCCTCCTCAGCTTTGACTTTGTGCTTTTCTTTTTCCTTCTCTTTATCTTTCTTTTTCTTCTCTTTCTCCTTCTTCTCTTTTTTTTTCTTTGGTTTGTTCACTGGCGCTTGGGACAGTGCAGCCAGCTGCTCATGGACGGCTTTCAGCTGAGGAGGAGACGGGAAAAACCATCAAGGCAAGGTAACTGCTGCCTCCACAAACCCTTCCCTCTACATCCCAAGGTGCAAATATATCCTAAAGCCAAAACTCAAGCAGTTCATACTCTGGGATCCCAGAAGGAAGGAGAGAGCATCAGCACTGAGAAAAACCACCTTGAAGAAAATTACCGTTACATCCAACATGCACTGAGTGCACAGCTGAATGCTTTACCCATTAGCCTGTGAATGCTCCCCTGCACGCCAGCCTAGGTGGGATTTTTCAGGACACAATTCCTGCTGCTGTGCTCTGTCTAATGCACAGACACACAGCTGGGATGGTGCAGTACCTGCTCCTGGAGCTCGGCCAGCCGAGTCGCCCGCTCCTCCTCGGAGTCGGAGCTGTCGGAGTCTGAGGAGCTCTCCTCGCTGCTGTGGCTGCTCTCTGTGCTTTTGCTCACCACTGGGGCTGTTGGGGGAGGTGGAGGGGGGGCCTCTGCAGGCTCATCTGGCATTTTTGCAAACCTCATCTCAAAGACATCCTGCAAAAAGGAGGAAAATTGGTGACCAAAGGAGCCTCGGCCACACACAGCTCACTCTGGTCTCTTAAATACATCAGGGGCAGGATCTTTGTGCACTACATGTAAATAATAATATACAGAATATGGTTGCCCATCTGGAAAGCCCAAGAAAATCCCCCAATTACTTTAAACCCAAGGATTGTTATATTTTGGGAGCCAAACATGGCACTGGGCCCATGCCATGTGAAGAGTACAGCAGTCCTGCAGAGAGCACGAGGCTCTTTCCAAGGGCTGGAGGAATCTCCCTTGTTGGTGCCAAGAGCAGATCCACACCTGGATCTCACCTTGTACCTGAACTAAAAACACTCTGGAAGATGCATTTGCCAACACCTTTACCTGGAGCTTCCTGGCCATGGCCACCACCTCGTGGTCTGGAGGATTGTACTTGTAACAATTAGAGAACATTAACCGAATATCTGCTGCAAAACCTTGTGCATCCTGGTATTCCCGACTGTCCATTTTTTTCTGCAAATAAACAAGCCAAAGGGGAAAGAAAAAAGAAAAGCCATAAGCAAAAGGCATTTGTAGCAACTGCATGGAGGACACATGAACCTCAGAAGAGCCTCCAAAATCCCATCTAAGAAAATGGAAGTTTAATTTGGATTATTGGCTCCTAAATAACATTCAGTTTCTGCTTTATAAAACAAGCAAACAAACATCAGGCAACCAAAGAAGTTGATATCTCATAGCAGTTTAAACACTAAGATTCTAATTTGCCTTGTTTTCTACCATTTAAGAGAATGGAAGTTTGATTTGGGTTATTGGTTCCTAAATAACATTCAGAGTTTCTGCTTTATAAAACAAGCAAACAAACATCAGGCAACCAAAGAAGTTGATATCTCATAGCAGTTTAAACACTAAGATTCTAATTTGCCTTGTTTTCTAAGCAGTAGAATATAAATCTGTCAGGATCCACATTCTACCAGAAAACATTTAGAAATCATTAGAAAAATCATTTAGAAAAATGGATCAGGAACTAATACAAACAAGGATCATGGATGGAAAGGGCAAGAGTCAACAAGCAGGTTACAATTACAGGAGTACCTGAAGTGTGTATTTCTACATATGCTTGGATATATTTGCCTTGTAAATCTGAAAGGGCAGAAAAGATCAAGAAAATCTAACTCTGACTTCCTGCTAGCAGAGGGCAGGAGGTTTGCTCTGCAGTTCCTACAGCAAAATAGGCATTTACAGTTAAACTACAACTCCCACTCTTAATTTAAAAGTCCAACTGATAGAAATGGATACAGGCTTCACCTTTTATGAACCTACTCATGTCATTTCCTAGAGCAGTGAGGATAAATGTCAAATATTTGTACCTTGTTCCTTTCTCTTATTTTTCAGCTCTCACTTCCAGCCATTTCTCTTGCTGTTTGGGACTCAATGACTTGGGTTTAGAGAGCAGTTTATAGCATTCCTAGCACTTAATTGATTTTATGCATATATTACTACTACGTATAAAACCTTAGCTCCAATTACTCCTGCTGAAAGGAACCAGAAGCTAACACTAGGTTTCATTTGCATTTAAAAGACCTGGGTTTAAAGAAATTCTCTGTTTGCCAAGTGCTTACAGGCTTTCCTTTTGTATGTCTTGGGCACCTGTGTGCCCAGAGAAGGGAAGGGTTGACTGGCAGACAGGCTGGGGACGTGATGGGGACAGACATCCCCATCCCAACGGCAAGCAGGGATGCTCGGGGTCTGTCACCCACCCCTAACACAAGCAAAATTCCCATTTTTCACAGAACTACAGAAATTTCACAGCTGTGATAGACCTTCTGACTGTCTTGAAACACTGCAATGACTCCTGGAGCTGTTTTTGTTGTGAAAAGGGCAGAATTTCACCTCCAGAGATTCAGCTTCTGAGGGACCTGGTGCAGGGTGGTGACATCCCTGCTGCAGCCAGACATCTGTCAAACTTTTGTCAGGAGACCTCATTTTCCTGGTGAATAAACCAAGAGACAGCCTGGAAGGCACAGCACAAAAGCAGAAAGGGAAATAGGTTTGTGGTGCTCCTGTCTGAAAAGCCTCTCAGGCCAATTCCAAAGCAAAACATATGTTCAAACCAAAGGGCCCATTTATTTTAAAATACATCTGACTGCATGAAAGGCCTTTTTATATTTGTTTGGCATACTCAGGGCCTGATTATTGCCTATGAAATACATTCCAGTGTCTGAGGCTTTGCTTTTCATCCAAACTCAACAGTTTTCTAGCCCTACAATTTTTAATCTGTGGATTTTTGTTTTGTTTTCTTGTAAAGAATAATTAGCTTAACAAAAGAAAGAAAAGCACTTTGAATTGGTGGGCTGGAATATCTTGTTATAAATACACTTGGAGATATCCAGCTGCTTACAAAAAAAAAAAAAAAAGTCATTACATTTACAACTGGAAATCAGGAATCAGGCAGGGCAGCTCACTCATCCTCTGTCCCACAGACAGCAATCTCATTTTCCCCCTCAATCAATTGTTTAAATCATCTTTTCATAAATTTGTTTCTTCATGTCTAACGTGTCCCTTGCTCTAAGTCTTGTCCTGCCCACAGAGGACACAAAGAATGTCTGCTCACTTTCAAGACTCTGAACTCAGCTGCTCTGAAACTGCAGAAGTTCACTGCAGGAAAATTAAGAGGTGAGCAGAGTTACATCCCTGGAGGAAGCGCTTTATTCCAAAAGTAAACACCTTGTGGAAATCCTCCTGCACAGCAAGGCTTGTTGCTTGTTCACCTCTGAGTAAAGCAAAGGCAGAGACATCCATGTCACTGCTGGCACCTGGCAGCCAAGGATGGAGCAGAAGAGGTGCTCCAGGCCCCCAGCCCCACAGAGGGGGACAGGGATGTTCTGCAATGGTCCCTGCCTGCCTGGGGACAGGGCAGAGCAGCTCCTGCCTCAGTGCCTCCCACTCCTCACAGGGAACTACAGCTGCTGCCTCTCTCTCCTCACACTTCCACCCTTTCCTACTCCAAGCAGTTCTGCCCTTTCCTTCTTTGATAAAGGGAGTTGAGGTGGAGGTGAGCTCACAGATCCTGTCCTTCAGCTGTTCCCATTCTCAGTCTGAGCTCCAGCACAAAATTCCAGCACATCCCTCTGCTCCTGGCTGCAGCAAGCTCAGCTACAGCCCCTGCATCTCACCTGCCCCTGGCACAGTCACAACAGCCAGCCAACCTGCCTCCTCCACCACACACAGAGAAAACAGCCTCCAAATCCTCCTGCAGACACCTCTGCCAGGGCAAAAAAATGCTCCTGGACATGAAGGATAGCCTCTGGGGGAAATCAGACCTAACACAGCCACAGAAATAAGAGACAAGATGTGTTACAGCTGCAGCAATGCTTGTGTTTTGCTTTCTCACATAATTCCTCCCAGGTTAGTTTGGAGGCCCTTAGTTGGGCTGCTTTATCACAGCCACTGTCACTTGGGCAGAATTAAATCTAAAAACCTTTCAGAGCCACAGTGGAAGTCTCTGACACTGGAAAATGACACTGCCTGCAAATGGCAGGTTTCTGTTCCACACAGTGAACATATTATGAGCTGCATCTCTGAGAAGTCACACGATGATTTGCAGGCCAAGAGCAATGACAATAAAACACTCCATAAAAAACCAATACCAGACAGCACTTCAAACAACTTAATTAAGAAAAATACTACCGTGTGGAATGAGAAGCCCAGAGTCTGTAGGTGTAAAAGACTCCACTGGGTTTGCCATCAGCCTGTCTCCAATTTTCTACCCTACACTAGTCAGGTGCAGAGGGAGGATATCACCTGCACTTACCAGAAAGGGGCAGAGGTGTACAATTTTAACAGAATGAAGTCAGGACCTTAAAGAGATTTAAGCATGAAGGAATCACCAACCCAAGGAATCACAACTTTGCACTTAGATTTTTCAGAACACAGCACAATAACCTCTTGCAATAAGAAATCACCTAAGCACACGTGGAAGTATTTGAGAGAGCCAGGATTTCACCCTGTCCATCTCTAATCTTCCTGCAGTGACCTGGGGCTTCAACTAGCAGGGTGCAGATATGTCTGGAGACCCAGAGCAGCCCTAGGATGGATGCATGGCACATCAGAGTGTGCCATGCTGCTCCTGGGTACCACACAGGATCTGCCAAGGAATATGACAGGAATCACAACCACAGCTGCCCTTCTGTCACCTGGGCATTCAGACAACCCCAGGCACTGGCTCAGCTGGCACTAAAACCCTTCTGGCAATGCCAGTGAAAGCCAGTAACAACATCTTCACCTCCTGCACGTGGAAGTCTCCCCTCCATCAACACAGAATCCAGTGCCTGGCTCACAAGAAGATGGGAACTATAAAGACATGTCTTTGCTTCATGGAGGGATTCAGAAAACCTCCAAACCTCCTGGGAAAAACAAGAATATTGGACCATACTAAGCTAAACTCTTGAGGAGCCAAGCATGAACCACAAAAGCAGCACATATCTCCCTGAGCACCATCACATTCCAGTTGGAGTTGCTCAGTGTAAGCCTATCTGCCACCACCAAGTAGGCAGGCAGCAGCTTCTGGAAATGGGATACCATCAATTGAATCCTATGAAATAAAGCACCTCCTCTTCTCAGAGTGCAACACAATCCTCAGAACACCAGCTAAATACCTGGACTATCCACAAAGAGGAGAGGATACCATTGTACTTTGCTTTGTGTACATCATCTTTGCTTTGTGTACATTCTGCTTTGCAGGGCAGAAAAAAAAGCTGTCCCAGGTTATGGCAAAAAAGGGAGCGGGGATGGAAACAAAATATAAAAATACAATATGAAAATATCCAGCTGGTATCCAAACAGATTGTTTCCACCCTTTCCCCTTCCCCCTCCCACAAAGGAGCCAGTCCTCTGCAACCAGAGGGACCCCCTGCAAAAAGAGGTGGTAAATGAGGACGTACTTTCACAGTACTGAGATCCATGGGGTGTTTGATAATATCGTGATAGTCATGTAATTCCAAGGCCTCTGCATCCACGGGCTTGTAAAATGGCCATGCATAGGCTGCGTGCTTCTTGGAGAGCATCTCCTTGAGGATGCTGTCACAGTACTTGAGGTGCTCAGAGAGTTTGCCCTTCTTCCCTGCGTGCTGAGGGACCTCTCCATCCTCCAGGTCCTTCTTTGGTGGCTTGATGGGGCGGCCGCCGCTCTCCCTGCGCGCGATGATTTTGGCCTGTTTGGGGTCCGACAGCGGCGTGGGGGACTCGCTCCTGCTCGCCGTGATGGCAGACGTGGTGGGCGTGGTGGTGTCTGCTTTCCGCTTCACTCCCTTTTTCTGAAACAGCACAGGGACAGGCTCCATGAGGACACGCCCTGTAGAAACCCTAGCACAGCTCGTCCTTAGTTTTGCCTGTTCCTCTGACAGAAAGAAAACCTCAAATTATTTCACTGGGATAAATGGGATTTGTGACTAGAGGCTCCTACACTGCACGTCACCTGAGCCACAGGAACCAGCCATTTGCACAGCTCCAACCCAAGCCCAACCATGCTCTGAAATGTGTTATTTCCCTGAGAGGGAAGCCAGGACTCTTACCTGGTGTTTGCCAAGGGAAAGGAGGGCACGCAGTCGATTACTGCAGCTCAGCTGATGCATGGGGACTGAGCAAGTGTCAGTAACTTAAGCACATGTCTGAGTCCCCAGTGGCAGGATCAGGCTCTAAGTTCTGAACCAAAGCATATTAATCACCAAAGACCCAGGAGCCCTCACTCCCCTGCATTTAGTGGGTGTGCTAAGGTAGATTTTGCCTTAAGCAAATAAACCCTCTCACATAAATTCAAGCTGGGACTGCCCAGTCAGCTCTCTCGTGCTCCTATCAAGGATTTATTTCTCTGGAGAGGAAGATAGGGAGGAAGAAGTTCCTCAGAGAAATCTAAGGGAAATCTTAAGTAAATCCCAAGCAGAATTAATTTTGCAGTGTGTATTTGGCAAACTCACTTCTGGGTTCATCCTTGAGTTTTAAAATGAAATTGATTCTCAGAAGCAAGTTATTTGGATAGAAACTGAAATGTGAGACAGGTTTCTGAGGAGGACTTGCAGCTTAGCTGCAAGATCTAACTTACAATTTCTCTAGTAATTCCCAAACTGTTGGGTTAAACAACAAAACAATTCTGCTGGTCCAAGCAACCTCACAACCAAAATTGTGGCAGGTAATTCCACAGTTTAGATAAAAAGACCCCCAGCTTTCTCTGAGCTATGCTTTCATCATTTTTAAAGCAATTCACAGCTTGCTAAGAAAATTTCAATTATTTAGGTAATGTCTTCATTTACCCATAAATTAACATAATAAATAGCAAAACACCAGTGACAACTCCCAAAAGATTACTCAGTAAGGAAGACAGAACTAATGCACCCAAAACCTGCAGGCAACATCAGTCTCCTCCAACTGGAGTGACAGGCTTGTCTTGAACTGGCTGAAAGCAGAGAGGAACATTCCCAATGCTGGAGCCTGCAAACCTTAAAGGAACAGCCCCAGTAAAATCAGGAGCTCAGTTAAGAGTGGGAAGAGATGCTTTGGGCTGCAAACCTTAAATGAACAGCCCCAGTAAAATCAGGAGCTCAGTCAAAATGGTAAGAGATGCTTTGGGCTGCAAACCTTAAAGGAACAGCCCCAGTAAAATCAGGAGCTCAGTCAAAATGGTAAGAGATGCTTTGGGCTGCAAACCTTAGAGGAACAGCCCCATAAAATGAGGAGCTCAATTACAGAGGGAAGAGATGCTTTGGGCTGCAAGCCTAAAATGAACAGCCCCAGTAAAATCAGGAGCTCAAAGTGGGAAGAGATGCTTTGGGCTGCAAACCTTAAAGGAACAACCCCAGTAAAATCAGGAGCTCAGTCAAAATGGTAAGAGATGCTTTGGGCTGCAAACCTTAAAGGAACAACCCCAGTAAAATCAGGAGCTCAGTTACAGAGGGAAGAGATGCTTTCAGCTATTTGGTGTAAAATGGGGAGAATTCCAAGAGCCCTGGAGCAGCAGCACAGGGGAAGGCTGTGAAAGGAGAGGCTGGAGCAAGCACAGGTGCCATCCCCTGTGAAAAGCAGCAGAACCACTCTCAACCCTCTCCAACTCAACACCCAGCGACCAAAGCAGCGATCCAGCAGCGAGGGGTCCAGTGCAGCCCCTCTCCTGCAGACGAGCTGCCCGCATTTACCTTGACGACCGGCGGCGTGGGAGGCACCACGGGCATGATCGGAGCGGCGGGCGGGGGCGGGACGGCGGCGGCAGGGGCGGCGACAGGCGGGACATTGGCGGTGATGGTTGGCACGGGGGTGGCAGCGATGACGGGCGTCTGAGACACGGCTGGAGGGACGTTCTGGAACGGGGCCGGCGGGGACACGGAAGACACGGCCACGGCTTGCTGCGCTCCTTTCAAACGAGAGGGGAAAGGCGCTGGTGGTTACGGCTGGGAGGGTACTGGGAGCAGAGAATTGGCACAGGGATACCCAGGGAGGGCACAAAGTGGGATTTGCTCGGTGCTGTTATAGCCAGGGTACAATAAAAGTGAGGAATCTCTGATCTAAGTGCTTGTAGCATGGGTTTAGGTCAGCCACACGCAAAATAATTGCAGCTTTTCATATGGAGTGTTGCTCTGGAATGCTTTCACCCCTTGGATGCTCCCAGAGCTGCACTGAGCTCAGCAGAAGAGCAGGAGATGGAACAGTGGGAGGTGTTCACACCATACAAATGGCAACCACCACTGCCCTGAGCCACCTGAGCACCCAGGAGGCCAAAACACTTCAGATTTGCCACAAAGTGCACAGGGTGGGATTCTTGGGGTTGTGCAGGGACAGGAGTTGGGCTCAGTGATTCCTGTGGGGCCCTTCCAAGTCCATATTTTATGATTCTCAGTAGAGCCTAAGCCTCCTGATGTCTCAATGTCTCTGATGCTACACCTGCACTGCTAAAAACCTGCCTGCTGGTGTGACATAAAGGGGGACAAACCTACTACCTAACAACCCCCTCCTGTATTTTATCAAAGGATGTTGAAAAGATACATCATCATTAATGTCTCTGAGCTTGGATAGATTTATAGCTCCATTTAGCACCTGAAATGTGGGAAAACAGAGGAACAATTGACTTTCCCAGAGCAACAATTAGACCTTGTTTAGAGAAAAAAAAAAATTACTCTCATCATTTAACTCAGCCCACACAAGGTCCTTTATGAACTGCTTTATTATGCTTGGACATTTTAGTCCTAAATCCATTTAAAGTCAATTCTAGGTAAGCTGAACTAAACTTAATTTCCACTGATATGCAATGGTGTACATGGCCTTTTGCAATGGCTTAATAAATCCTTTAATTTTATCATGTTGCAACCATGTGTGCAAAAGGAAAATATACAGGGTTTAGGGAATTAGCAACATTTGAGTCCAAGTCTCTGCTGTGCCAGATTTCTGCCAGGACCCAGGGTGAGCTGTGTAAACCCTAATCTGTAAAGACTTTCTATGCCATCCTCTGGCACTGGCAGCAGACTGGCATTTCTGACTACTTTGGCTTTTTCTTTGCATAGAGAAGCAACAGCACTGCCCTCCCTCCCTGAAGTGGTGCCTGGATGGGCAAATCACAGATGGCAAGATTGGTGTTGACAAAAGCAGGGTGGCCTTGAGACACACGAGCCCTGAAACCCTGAGTGAGCTTCTCCCAGACACCTCCCACCTTCCTCCCCACTGCTTTAGCTGTGAGACCACGCTCTCCCTTCCCAGCCTCTTCACCATCTGCAAAGTCCAGCAGCTCAGGAGGTGGGTCAGGCCTTGGGAACAGCTCCCACCATCCCCTGGCCCCACGTGGATCCCTACCTGCGCTCTGTGTGCCCGCTGAGGGCTTGCGACCTTTGCCTTTAGGAACTGGGGGTAGCAATTCCACCTCCTCCTGAGGCATCTGGGCAACCTTCTGCAGAAATATCTTCTCCAGGGCTTGGGCCATGAGGACAATGTCATCTGTGGGCTGCACAAAGAAGAATATGAGCCTTTGTTGTTTCGTTCACGTATCTGAAGCAGTGAGCTTGAAGACCAGGCTTAGAAAACACTGAGGCCCTTCAAATAAATTATGGTATTCAAACGCTGACAATAAACAGATTAGCTCTTCTCCCTCCTTGCTTGCCACTCTCCTGCTCTTCTGTTCTGCTCTAGCATGCAATAATTACAGCCCCTAAGTGTGCTGCATCCAGAGAATTATCAGGAGTTCAGAAGGAGCCTGATAAACCAGTATCCAGTGCAGCAGTGTGGAAGCAGCAAACTGGAACGGATGAGCTGTCCTTCCCTGCTTGCCAGCAGGTTCAAGGGAAGAGGCTAAACACACATTCTGTGGCTCAAACTAATTAATTTGTTTATTTCAGCTGTTCTCCAGTCTGGGTCTATGATGACGAATGACTGGAGAAAACAGAACACAAAGAATTTTAACAATCTAACAAAACAGCAAACAAGCCAAGCCCAAAATAATAATAATAATAAGCAATCTAAATGTGTGTAAGTATGAACATATTTATGCAGAGTCAAAGAACAGAGTTATGATTCTTGAACTCCTTTCTGCTGCTAACAGATACTATTTAGTGCCAGACAGTCTAACACACAGCATTAAAGCACCTCAAAACACCTGCAGAGCACTGCATTAAGTGCAGCTCATCCCAGAAAACTCCTAACTGGCAATAAAAGGAGTAAAAACTTGCTGCATAACCCCAAAACAGAAATCTACCTACAATTAAAAGGCATATTTGCCATTGTAACTAGTCTGGGGGAAGAAAGAGGCAGCACAAAGACAGCTTTGTGCATTTCAAGTAATGTGGTTGCAATTAGTGGCATTTGAAATCCCTGCAAGGAGGGCCCAGAACCGGCCCTGCTCAAAACCTGCACTGTAACAGGGGTAGGTGGGTGTTTTCTAAAGGCTTTTCTGGGCTTTTTTACCTTGTTATAAATGTAACAGTTTGTAAACATGGTGTTGAAATCCTGCATACATTCACTGGCACTCCAGTAATAGTTGTGTTCCAGGCGCTTCTTGATCGTCCCCATGTCCATGGGGTTTTTTATTATTTTGTGATAATCCTGTTGGAAAAACACAGAAGATGTTACATCTTCTGATTCAGTTTTGTTCACATCCCTGCTTTCTCCTCATCCCCCCACCCCCCTAAAAAACACACCCCTAAATTTTGTGGAAATTGTAAATGTAAATATATATTCATTTATTTTCTAATTTGTATCTTTTTAGTCTTACCATTATTATGAACTTGACTCCAAAACACACAACCTCCAGTCTGGGAATCAGCATTTCTGCCTCCCTTTTTAAAAGGCTGCCTCTGGCACTCACAGAAGTTTATCAGGGCTAGCTAAAACAGTGCTCAAAGTTTCAGTCTCTAATTTTAAGAGCATTCTGGCCTTTAAAAGGTTTCCACCTGTTAACCCAGTTTCTCCCCGGGCTGGTCTGGAGCACCTGCAGAGGCTGTGATTAGCCTGGGGACGCTGCAGGGCTGTGCAGTGTCATTTCTTGTTCTGGATTAGAACACCAAAGCCTCTCTTGCTGCACACGAAGCCACTGGCTGAGCCCAACACCATTCCAGGTGTTGATATTTCCCCTCTAAGCAACCCCAAAACTGACCTGACCAACACAAAGTTTTCTAGGCTGAGAAGACGACAGAAACGTACCGGCAAATTCAGCTTAATTGCATCAACAGGCTGGTAGAAAGGCCAAGCAAACTGATGCTTCCACAAGGTCTTCACCACAACATTTTGCATATATTGCAGCTGGTTGGTCTTTCGGCCAGGTTTGTTGGGATTTGTCACCTCTGGAGGCGGCGGATTCACGGGGCCCTGAGGAGCCTGGATCGCTGAGGCGACCGCCGACATCTTCCTGCTCGGGCTCTCACTCGCTGTCACTGCGGCAGCAACGGGGAGATTTTCTTTCTTCCTTTATGCTCCCTGAACGGGACTGACATCCCATTTCCAGGGTGCAACCATACAACCTAGAGCAAACTAGACAGAGAGAGAGGGAAGGGTGTAAGTACAGATTTTTGAAGCAGGCGGGTTGAGACACTTCTTCTGTAGACAGTATTTAAACTCAGGCTCTTTACCCCATTGACTTTGTTCTGGAACACAATTTATCTTGGAGATGGGAACAGTTCAAGACCCAAGAGACAGTGGAACAGCAGTTCCCAAATTCAAAGCCTGCAGAGACACAGCAAGCTTCATGGGACTAATTCTTGCTTCAGCTGGCTCAGAGAGCATCTTCATGTCAAGAAAACACTCAGGGCAACCTAAGAATGCAGTCAGGGAATACAGGATGCAATGCAGACTCCATGAATGCACTGATGCAAGCTGCTAAATCCATAGCTTCCAGCTCCATGTAAACTGAACTGCAGTGTCTCTAGACCCGTGCTGCCTGGCCCCCAGGCAGCTCACAGGGCTCTGCTCTGGTGCAAGGGGTAGTCTGAAATCCCGTAATGAAGAGCAGATGACAGCAGGCAGAGGACCTCAGCCCAGGGAAATGAAAGAAGAGGCAGAGTGAGATGCTGTGAACTGCTGAGAGTGAAAGGTGTCACCAGAAACAGCCCAACTTGAAGTGGTCTGCACTTTGAATCTCATAAATGTCTTATTATGCCTCTTAATGCATGCACCTGACTGGTTTTGACCCCAGTTTTATATTAAAGTTTCGAGATCCAGGCTCAAATAATAACTGGTGTTACACTGATATCCCGTGACCTGGCTCAGACAGTGCTGTCATGTTCTCTCTCAAAGACACATTTGAAATAGAGGAGAATACATAAATTGCATTATTGTATTCTGCTTTTCCCTCTGCAAACTGCAGAGGTAAAAATAGCCCAGTATCACTGTGCCTTGTGTAGCATATGGTAAACAGCTTTGCTATGTCATCTTCCATAAACATTGGATATTTCAGCTCACATCAGGACTGCAGCTACACTTCTCATGGCAAACAGAACACAATCACTTTCTAGAGGCAAATTATTTCAAATATGTTTAGAAAGCCATACAAATACTCTGACATACACTTCTTGGTTGAACAGAGAAACGTGAGCAGGGACAGAAGCTGCAGCAACACAGGAAGGAAAAAGCAGGGAGACATCCTAGGAAAAACCCAAAAACCTCTGCTTTAATACAGCCCTAATCATCTCAACTGAGTATCTGGACTAAATATAGAACATCAACTTACCCTGTGAGCTGCTGATTAGATGAAGGCAAAAAGTAAACACATACCTAACTCGGGGAAATTTTACCAAAATAGCTGTGTACAAACAAACAGCTCTGCAGCAAAGAGGGAGGAAACTGCTAAAAATCTAAACCAAACCCCTGTGTGAATACATGTGATTATTTGTGCAGGAAACAAAGTCCAGTTCTCATGCTGCCACCATTTGTTCAACACCCACTATATTCCAAGGATGGAGAAAAATGCCAGGAGGACTCTCTTGTACCATGGATTTAGGTATAGCTCCAGAAATCAGGCTTCTGGTCCCTGTTTTTTGATAACTCAGGAGCCCAGCTTAGTTCCATAAGGACTGGTTTCTCATGTGCTCATGCTGCTGGTGACAGGCAGGGTGATCACCAAGCAGCCAGAAGGGATGCTGGCATCCCCTGGACAAGGAATTTCATAACTAGAGTGTTACTTGGGATTTCAGATTTGGAAGAAACTGGGGAAGGATTTTCTCCCAGTGTTCCATTAAGTCAAAGCAGCATCAGAAATATTGCAAAATTCAATCTTCAGACCGAGGGGGGTAAATAGACAAAGAATTAAAAACAACAACAAAAAAAAGATAATTAGGAAGTTTCACTCAGTGTCCTTCTGGGGAGCTCCCTGCATGGATTCAGGTTTCTGAGCAACATCCATCATCCCAGAGAATGCAAGGCTGGCTGCAGGTCCCTGGTGACCACCACTGAAGCATTTTGTTTGCTGTCTTCTTGATTAACAAACTGAATCCAGTGCAAGGATTGAGGGGAAATAAAACACCCACAGAGAGCAATTCCTACTGCTAGAGAGCATTTGGGTCACAAGTTTGAAACTATGCAGTGTAACTTAAGTCTTCCCTTTAAATAACCTGAGGCTAAATATGATTCTTTTTTCATTTCAATTTCTTCATGTCCTACCTCTCAAACTCCAATTTGATAAGGATTTTTAATTAATTTGTGTTAAATCCCAGAACTGTAATTCAACAAACCACAGATCCATAGCTCGTACTTCTCTCAGACATTTTCTCCCTGACCTTAGCCAAGGCTTTCAGTATCTTCACCCCACAGCTCCTCATCTGTGCCATGGAGATAGTGGGAACTCCTTTCTGTCCCCACCCAGCAGAGAAAGCTCTCTGGGACAGGCACTGCCTCCCCACAGGGCCATTTTGATCCTCAAGCTTAAACAAGGCTTGTGCAGTCCACATAAAAGGATGGAACAGTCATCAGTGACACAACTCAGAAAGGATTTTAATTAAGAACATTACCAAAACAAGGAGGGGCAGAACCATGACAACCAACTTGGTCAGTTCCCTGATCCTCTTTAACTTCCATGCTCCAACACATTGGTTTTTACACCCCAAAGTGGCTCCAAACCTCCCAGCAGCACTGGCATAGAACTGCTGGATCCTGCAGAAGACAGAAATAGCTACCTGGACTATCTGGCAGCACTGGAAGTACTGTCCTGCCATAAATAAGCTTTAATGTGCTTCACTGTACCTTTAACCCTTGGTCCAGCTTCCTCACTACTTGCTGGGGAAGCTGCTTTGATACTGGATCACGTTGTAATTTTTAAAATTAAGAATTTGCTTCTACAGCCATTCTTTTACCTTCAAAAACTCGAAATGGTATCATTTTTAAGAATGTAAAAGCAGGGCTACAAGGAATCTGGAAGATTAGAGTAAAAATGCTTTGAAAATGTCCAAAAGGCAATGACTTTGAATTAAAGATAAATTAATGCCTGAGAAATCTAATCCATGTGAAACATCATTTATTAAGTGAGGGAAGTGAGAGCCCTGACCATCTGACATTCCAAATTACCACACAAATCACCCAAGAGGATACTTTAGTAGACCCACAGACAAAAATTAAGCAAGCTTCTACAAATTGTTCCGTAACCACAGGTAGAATTGAGCTATACAGCTCTTGTTTAAGCATTCCAGCACCCTCTGAAACTGCACTGGTATCAATAAATATTTAAACCTTTCGTGACAGTGACTCAGGACATCACTGTACAAGGGACTGTACAAGCCTGGAGTGAAGACTGCCAAACCAGACACCATGTGCACCTTCCAGTGAGGGGCTAAGGTGAGACTTCTTTTAGCCCTGCAGTAACATCATCTTAAATTTTAATTTTTAAATCACTGCTTACCCTGCTCCTCAGGCCTATAATGTTCAAGTAGCAGGAGGTATTCTTGATTTCTCTGTCTGCACAAGCGGTTTTGATATTGCAAGTTTAAAATATACTCTAAAGTGCTGTCATGCACAAAGAGTGAACACTGCTTCTCCTTCTTATTCAATTTGAGACAGTAATTAAAAACAAAACCCAAAACCTCAAAGAAAGGAGGTTTTAAGTCCTGGAGTTTAAGTCTTTTTCTGCTAAGTTGCAACCTCAGTGTAGCAAACCAGGCATCAAAAACCCCAGGTAGGTGGGATGGATTTTTCCTTTAAAAAAACCTTTCTTCCATCGAGTCCCTCACACAGGGTCAGTCAGCAGACAGACAGCTGGCATGGAGAAAACATGTAAATAATTCCCTGCACTAGCAGGATAACATTTTCCTGTCTGCAGTGGTGGGGACTATTTTAAAAGCAGCTCTGAAGGCCCATGAAGTGTGCAGTGTGCCAGCTCTCCTGCTGCTCCAGCCAGCGGCTCTGCACTTCCTCTGGCAGTGCCCAGCATTTAATGGATGCTTTGCTCCCGTGCAGGACCCGATGGGTTTGTTTTGATTGCAAACCTACAGCAAGTTTTATGGCAGCCTGGCAGTCCGACAACTCCTTGGTTTTGTTTTCCCCCCCATTGGTATAGTATTTCTGCGTGGTTACTTGGACATTGATCAACATCTGGCAGAACTCCAGCTCGGCAAAGAAACAGCCACATAAATCTTCCCATCAGGGAAAATTATCGAGTTTGAGAGATGTTCCTTGACCTCGCTGTTATCTGCATATTTTTATTTACATTACAGTAGCACACAGAAGCTGGGCAGAGACCAAGGTCCCTCAGCAGTTCACACTCTGCACACACAAAGACCCTGTTCCTTCCTCAAAGGGCTGCTGCTCACAACTCACACTTTACACCACGGTGAGGTGAATGCCCAGAGCCCCCCAGTCAGCAGCCAGACCCAAAATTTGCCAGCAGCGCAGTCAGAGCAGTTGCTGCTCCAAGTACTGCTTCCCCACATTGGCTCCTTGCAGCCTCCAAAGCAGATTCTCAGTCTCTTTTTTCCCAACAGTTGGAAGTTTGGTCAGATTTGCCACCACGTGTCACTGCCCATGTCAGAGAAGCAGCCCAGCATTGGTCATCTTGCCCTGACTTTCTCTGCAGGACAGGTTTAGCACTACTAAACCTCAATACAAAGTCAAGTAAGGTTGTTAATGAGGGTTGTAGCCATTTCATTCTATGGCTGTAGAAATTAAGGGCTACATCAGTCTCCTCAGAAGGAAACAAAACGTGTGGATGCCTCCTTTTCCTCCTCCTTTGCTTTCCCTTCCCAGCCCCGCACAGGAACTGAACTTCAGGCAGCTTTCAGTACCTACTAACATGTCAGCAGAGATGGTGTCTTCAAACACAAGGGATGTGCAATTTGAGAGCAAGACTTGAGGACAGACGAGTTGCTTTATCAGCCAACCCTGCTCTGGCAGACAGACACACTGCACACAACATGCCACCCCCTCAAGACACTGGGATTTACACTTGGCTTCATTGCAGGAGCTGGGAATTTGGCTTGCAGTGCCCCTATGGCACACTGCAGCACTTTGAAAGTCCATTCAGCCATCCTTGCTGTCTCCCAAATCATTAA